AAAATAATTTTATGGTTGGGGTCACAACATGAAGAACTGTGGCATTAGGAAGGTTGAGAACCACTGCTCTAGGGAACAGAGGCCTTGCTTAAAAAAAACAACCAAGTCCGTGTCCTATTGGTATTTCTAATGGTTGGTGAGTGCTGACCCTCTCCACGGTTATCCCCTAATCACTTTAGATAACATCCTAGTTTACCTACATTTCATAATAACTCTATTAAGTCATTAATATAGCTGACAGGCACGCAAACTGAGGTTCCAGAGGTGAAGCTGTTTCTGTTATCACTCGCACAACTGGAAAGGAGCAGAGTTCGTTTTGGACAGCTAACGGTGTGGCTGGAGAATACAAGCTCTTACCCTTTGACCATCAAATCACCACCTACAATCAAATCACTTTCTACATCAACTCACTGATCAAATCGTTCATCTTCACAATGAGAGAGTTACCTGTGGCCTGAAAGCAAGTGTCTCCTTACAAATTTAATGCCAAAATCCATGCTCGTGAAAAAGACCGTGGCAAAATCTACCTGTCATCCCCTTAGTCCCTCTCCGCTGCCCGGTGCATCGCCGGATGCCCAGTAGGTACACAAAGCACTTGTCGGAGGGAGCACAGAAGTAACCAGCTTTAAGGAGAACAAGCTATTTGCGGTGATGAGGAATGCTGTCCTCGCCATATCCCAGAATCGAGTTGAAGATCACTTACATAAAAAGACATGGGCCTTCCAGCAAATGAAGTTTCTTCCTCTCTGCCCAAGGCACAGTCTCCAAAATGCAGTTCAGCGTCCTCAAAGCCTTTAATGGGAAGGAAGAGGCGTTCACAGTGAGAAAACAAGACGGACTTTCTCGAAGTTTCCAGAGCAACTGTTTTCTGACTGGTCCCAACTTACCTCCTGCCCAATTGAGTGATTTAGAAGCTTTTCTGTCACCAGGAATCCTAAACTAAATACAAAGGCATCCAACATCTGAATTCTCCCTGGGAAAAAAATTTTTGAATATTAAATATTTTGCTAAAAAGAACAACATTCTTCTAACCCAGCAAGAGGAGGCAATGCCCAGAAGAGTCACAGGGACGGTCAGTGTTTCAGAAATGATAGTCTGAATAAGGGACAATGTACAGCTCCGAGTCACAATATACTGGCATTACACAGATATCCACTGAAGAGACAAGCAGTCTATACAAAGTGTGACTATTTCCTATGATTACCATAGACCAAGCAAAGGCCTTTTTTCTGCATGGACTGAGCAGTGTGCAAAAGGCACTTGCTACACAATTACCTGTTGTTTTCATGTGCTTCTTATAGTTTATTAAAAATGGATTATATATTTTTTCACTTTAAATTTGCACAGCCTTAGAGTTAGAGAAGCAGAAAGTGTTTGATAAAGAGTTTTCAAAAGGACAAAACAAGAAGTATCATCTGAGAAGGCTCTATCCATTTTAAGATGGCCTCCATTTCTGAAATGACACGTTGTTTCTCTGTAAGTCTATAACATAATTCAGTTACCTTTAACTTGAACTACATTAAACAGAACCATCAACTTCTGATATTGTACCTTTTCCATTGTCTGAGCGACAGAGAAAGGCATTTCCTCGGCTACAAGTTAAGTCAGCAGCCACTCCACTCGCTGGCGTGGAATGGCAAACGCACTCCTCGCAGCTGAGTGGAAGAAAGTCAAAGGACTCACTGTCACCGAGTCAACTCCATGGCGCCCCTGCAGGGCAGAGTAGAACTCACCCTTTGGATTTCTGAGGCTGTAACTCATTCTCCAGCTAGTGGGTTTGAACTGCGGACTTTCAGGTTAGCAGCCCCAACCCATGACCCACTCTGACACCAGGGTCCCTTCAGATGGTGAGAAAACCAAACCAAACTCACCATGGAGTCGGTTTTGACTCACAGTGAATCTACAGGACAGGGTAGAACTGTCCCCGTGGGTTTCCAAGACAACTCTTTATGAACGTAAAAAGCCTCATCTTTCTCCCAGGTAAGCGGCTAGTGGTCTCAAACTGCTGACCTGGTGTGTTAGTGGCCCAACTCATAATCCATGATGTCAACAGGGCTCCTTTAGATAGTACAGGAGCAGCCAAATAAAAGTGCACTTCAGGCAAAAAAAATGACACACTCTTTAGAGCAAAACTCATTCATCATCACAATATGAAAATCATAAGATGGTCGATAAATCCAAATCATAATTCCTAACCCCAAATTACTTTTACTTATCATTTAGATATTATTTTCTCTGTATCAGAATATTATGTTATAAACAATAATTATAAGTAGCCAAATTAAGATACTTACCTTTATAACTATTCCTGGAAATAATCTATTAAAAAGAAAAAAGTAAAGTTTATAAAAGAGCATTATAAATCATAGCAGTAATGCTGGCAATTCTCCAGCAGGCAGAAACCTCTACATATAGAAGTTAGAGAAAGTCTACTTGAGCCTCAGAGCTTATTAATCAGCATATCACCCTCAATTACATAATTTGTATGCTTGAAAAGAAATCACCTCATTTTTCTATAACATTAATTATACTGGTTGCATATTAAAGGTATGTATTTCTATCTATATAACTTCCTGTTTATCAATGTACATATATATACATTGGATTATAATCATTGATTATAATTATAATCAATCTTTGTTTCCATTTTACGTATTAGTCTAATAACAAAATATAGGAGTCCTTTAGAAAGAAGCCAAGTTTTAATAACTCGAAGTTTCCTGAAAATTTGCAACAGTATCTGCACTATGAAGGGACCATGCCCACCCTTACCAAAGCTGTTTCTAGGAAGTCCTTTGTGGCTGTAATCAGGGATGCATCGGAAGTTAAGTCTTCCTTGGTCAGAAGTCTCACTGTTTCTTCAAACCAGGAAACCATGTACATAAAGGGAGAAACAGAGATGGAACTGCATATTATGAAATAACTAATGTCACCTCTCACTGAAGTATCATAATATTTAAGGTCCCTTTTCCATTCCGTACCATTTCAATTAGACCTGGCTCTGAGGTCTCCCCTTTTGAGAACTCTAGACTGTAGCGTTCATGCAGCTACAAACTGAAATGAACAAATGCTCAGGTATTGGAAAGTCTGAGAGACTAAGGCAGGACCAGGAGTTAGTGGGTAATGCCTGGAGTCCTTAGTGGTGCAAACCATCAACATGCTCAACCGCTAACTGAAAAGCTGGAGGTACCTTGGAAGAAAGGCCTGGTGATTATTGCTAAAATCTCAGCCAGAGAAAAGCCAGTGAAGCACAGCTCGACACAGACACACATAGGGTTAACAATAAGGTTTAAGAAGTCAATGAGCCTCGCTAACCTAGGGGAAGTTTTTGTAATTTGAGAGTAATAGAAAATAAACTAGCCAAGGCTCAAACTCACTGCCACCGAGCCAATTAACTCACGGTGGCCCTGTAGGACAGAGTAGAACTGGCCCTGTGGGTTTCTAAGGCCTGAACTCTTTACAGGAGTAGAAAACATCACCTTTCTCCTGAGAAACAGCTGCTGGTTTCAAACTGCTAACCTCAAGTTTAGCAGACCAATAATTAACCTCTCCGTCATCAAGGCTCCTTAACCAAAGCTAGCTGCTTATTAATAAACATGTCTCAGGTCTATCTGTTTATTTATGCATCTATTCAGTTGCCAAAAGTTTCCAGCTAACTGCAGATTTTATTTTTCTTCTAAGACCGAATATCCAATTTATAGTAAATCGCAATGAATGGGTATGGTTTAAAAAACAAACATCTTAAGGGGAGAAAGGGGGAACCAATTACAATGATCTACATATAACCCCCTCCCTGGACAACAGAAAAGTCGGTGAAGGGAGACACTGTACAGTGTAAGACATGAAAAAATAATAATCTATAAATTATCAAGGGTTCGTGAGGGGCGGGGGCGGGGAATGAGGACCTGATGCCAGGGGCTCAAGTAGAAAGGAAATGCCTTGAGAATGATGATGACGACAAATACACAAATGTGCTTGACACAATGGATGGATGGTGATGAGTTGTACAAGCCCCCAATAAAATGATTTTAAAAACCCATCTATAAACCCTCCTAGAAAGTACTGACTCAATAAAGCAAAGGCTATATATATTTAGACCAATTTTTTGCTGAGGCTGGTCGTGCAGGGGGGAAAAAACCTGCACATACCCTACAGGACGTCTACTAAATAAAGAACTTAACAAACATGTGCTTTTGGCCAACTGGCTCAGAAGCAACAAAGCCCATATGGAAGAAGCACACCAGCCTGTGTGACCACGAGCTGTCGAAGGGATCAGGTATCAAGCATCAAAGAAGAAAAAATATCATTGTAAAGGTGGGTGAGTGCAAAGTGGAGACTCAAAGCCCATTGGTAAGCAACTGGACACCCCCTTACTGAAGGGTTGTGGGGGAGGAAACGAGCCAATCAGGGTGCAGGGTAGCAATGATGAAACATATAACCTTCCTCTAGTTCTTAAATGCTTCCTCCCCCCCACTATCATGATCCCACTTCTACCTGACAAATCTGGCTAGACCAGAGGATGTACATTGTACAGATAGCAACTGGAAACACAGGGAATCCAGGACAGATGACTCCTTCAGGACCAGTGGTGAGAGGGGAGATGCCTGGAGGGTGAAGGGAATGGGGGGTGAAAAGGGGGAACCGATTACAAGAATCTACGTATTGCCTGCTCCCTGGGGGAGGGACAGCAGAGAAGAGGGCTGGGGGAGACGTCGGACAGTGTAACTTATGACAAAACTACAATAATTTGTGAATTATGGAGGGTCCATGAGGAAGGGAGAGTGGAAAGGGAGGGGGAAAATGAGCAGCCGATATTAAGCCTAAAGTAGAAGGCAAATGTTTTGAGAATGATGAGGGCAACAAATGTACATATGTGCTTGACACAATGAATGTATGTATGGACTGTGATGAGAATTGCACGAGCCCCCAATAAAAAAAAATTTTTTAAAGCATGTGCTTTTTAAGAGATCCCATCTCACATCGGATTGTCTTGCACAACCCAAAATGTCCTGCCCAGCGCATACATCAGGAATCACATGCTAAATCACATCACTTAAATTTTTTTTTATTCTATCTAGGCAACAGCATCAGTACCAATTAATTTTCTAATTTAATTTCAAAGAACAGAAAATACCAAACTTAACTAGACACTTTAGTTCTTTATTTAGTAGATGTCCTGGTGTTAGAGGGATCAGACGTTGGGCTGCTAGTTGCAAGGTCAGCAGTTCCAAACCACTAGCTGCTCCCCAGGGGAAAGATGGGGCTTTCTACTCCCGTAAAGAGTCAAGTCTCAGAAACTCACAGGCGCAGTTCTACCCTGTCTTAGAGGGTCGCTACGAGTGAGCATCAGCTCGACCGTAGTAAGTTTGGTGTGGTTTAGTTCTCTACCCTAAGACATACAAACTAGACAGACACTTATCTTTGGGATCACTCCCTGCAGAATTAGCAAAGGCTCCTCTTCTGTGAGGCCATCCACAAAGAACCTCTGAAGGCATTTCAGCAACAGTGACACGCACTGAAATTCCCTGCCATGCAGTTCCTAGACGTGAGACCACACGGAGTTAAACCCTCTAAGTCATTGCCTGGGGGTGTTCTGCTCACACATCCACATCTAAACAAAGCACTTGCCTTATTCATTGTTTTGTCGAGCTGGTGTAAGAGAAGGTGATCATGACTTTGAGGGACATAGCTCTCTCTGTGTTGAAGATATTCTCTTAGTTTCTGATATCCTCCACCAAGGAATGCATCCGTGATGCATGCTTGAAGCTAGAAAGGTGATAGTTTGCAAATTATCTTTTCTCCTCAAGGATATTTCATAGCAATATTCCTAACCAATTAGCATTAGCCAAAATAATTCTGTGTGTAAAAAATGCGGGTCTATAGCTTAAACTGTAAATAATCATTTACAAATGATTGAAGTCTCCAGGGGCTGAAAACCGTAGTTGTCAAAAGGTGGCTCCTTGGCCACCAGCAGGAGCCCTGGTGACAGATGGAGGGAGAGCTGGGCTGCTGACCAAAGGTGGGCGGTTAAGAGGAGGAAGATGAGACTTCAGTCAAGATTCCCAAACATAACCCTCAAAGCGACTGTACGGGGCAGCACAGAACCGCCCTGGTGGGTTTCTTTAGGAGGCTAGTTTCTCCAGCTCCGTGGAAACCCTATGGTGCAGGGCTGCTGGCCTGTGAGGTCACTATGAGTTGGGATCTCCTTGCTTGTCAGCAATGCCTCTGGTATTCCAGCAATCACATTCAGCTGGAACCTTGTTGGGACTTTGAAGGGATGGGAGGGGGGAGGAGGGTCTTCCAGGTGATTGTGATGCGTGCTAAGGATAAGAGTTGTAAGAAAACTGTGTTTTAGCTATACATATCACTAGGTTGAAAAACAACTTGATCCCCAGTAATGTTGGAAATTCTAAAGCATCAAAACAAATTCAAGCCAATGTTCACTTAACTAAGTGGCAAATGATCAGAATAAAAGAAAATGAATTCCAAACTTCTATTTATAGATAACAGAAATAGGTAACAAACAAGTAAATGAGATCATAAAGAAGCTAATCTCTTATCGCTGAAGAGTAGCCAAGATAGTCTAAGGGCAAAGTATAAAGCTATTTCTACAAAATCATAGAAACTTTTAAGAAACTAAGCATAAAAGTGTGGAACTATTGTGTTGCAACCTATCCCCTGTCCTTTGAGGTCTATGCATTTTTTTCAGGCGCCACTGTTTCCATCTCCCTATGGAGTTCTGCCCTCTGTAATTTACACCACCTCAAAATGGCAGTGTGGGCATCCTTGGAGGGTGTCAGATTGTGTTCTTTTGAAATGTTGACTTCAGAAACAAACAGAAACCTGAAAGGGCAAGACCAGGAGAGTTGACCTTGTGTAGGGCAGCCCTTGTTACCCTCAAATGACAAGCAGCTGCATTGTCATGATGGCTACATTTACCCAGCCACAAGTTCCCTGGCTTTTTCCCACCACCAATGCAATTTTCTGTCTCTCAAAATTTTCTCCCTTAGAGTGGGTTGGAAAGAGGGAACCAATTACAAGGATCTATATGTGACCTCCCTGGGGGGCGGACAACAGAAAAGTGGGTGAAGGGAGACGTCGGATAGGTCAAGATATGACAAAATAATAATTTATAAATTATCCAGGGCTCATGAGGGAGGGGGGAGAAGGGAGAGAAGGGAAAAAATGAGGACCTGATGCTGGGGGCTTAAGAGGAGAGCAAATGTTTTGAGAATGACGAGGGCAATGAATGTACAAATGTGCTTTACACAATTGATGTATGTATGGATTGTGATGAGTCGTATGAGCCCCTAATAAAACTATTAAGAAAATTTTTTTTCTCCCTTAATAAGTGCCCCCTGTGAAAAGTCTGTTCTTTGAGGAAATCTATCAGATATGCCCCCTTGGGAATCCTAAACAAGCCACCACAACCTTCTGAGCCCCAGCAAATTCCCTGGGAAGGCAGTTTTGATTGGACTTTTCGTGAGGACACCCCCATAAGGCTAAAGCCAGTCTATCAGAGAGCGTGCCACAGCCATCTCCTAGCCCCACCGGCATGTTTCAGCGCATCCCGTCTGGAATAAGCCCAGGCGCATATGAACGGGAGCCCTAATAGCAATAGCTTTTGACTTTTTCTTGTACAAAACTAATGTGTTTTTTAAAATATGTATTTCTTTTTTAAATAAAAGTCTTGTTCAGATCTACATGCAAACGTGCCTAAGGAGCCATTCCATTCCTGTTTATTTAAATGGGAAAACGTTTGACATTACTTCATTCAGCAGAATGTTTCCCTTTCTGCAGTTTCCGTAAAGGGAGCCTAAGGCGCCCGCCGGGGAGGCAAACCTGTGAAGTATTGTGAAGATGTTCTCATGCAAATTACACCACCACGCTGAGCGGCTTGGTTCTTTGTTTGGGAGTTCAGATATACAAGGCTGGGAAAGGTTAAAGGCGCTCATGAAACCACCCAGTGGAGATTCATAGGCTACCGGGCCAGAAACTCAAGCTTCACACCTGCCTAGAATTTTGCAGGGACTTCCCACTACCCTCAAAGTCTAACCTCTCTGTTTCCAGCTGCCCTGGTTAACACTAAACTGACCACACGTGATCAGAATTTCAAACCCACCAGTAACCACTTACCACCTCTCCACCCCCACCCACTGAAGGAAAATGATGCATAATGTTGCAAAATGTTCCAAAAGTAAGCCTTGAAATCCTTATATAGGGTCCTGCAAATAATAACCATCTTCAGGGCAGGTTTGCTTTGGGGATCTAAAGCAGATTATGAGTCTAGCATCACATACACACCCCACCCCACCCCCATTACTCTCCATCACAATACTGTGCTATTTCCTTTCATACCTTACAGTACTGAGGGGGCTTCAAAATTTCCTAAAAAATTCCATTTCCCTTTAGTACCTTTCTTTCATTTTGAAACCCCCCCCCCCAACCCACAACCCCCGCCCCCTCACCCCACCCCGTGTACTTTTTGTTCACCCCTTTCTTCATCTTGCTCTGCTAGGCTGTAAACTGGGAGGGCAGGATTGTTCATTGTTTTGTTCAGGGCTGTCTACCTCCACCTAGAATAAGGCTTGGTACAACCTAGCCTAGCCTAGAATGCTGGTAAGATAACTCAGGTTAAAATGGACATGATTGGGATGTGGGAGGTGAGAGAAAGAGATGGAGGCAAAGATGATTCCTTCTGGCTTGAGCAATTTAGCTACCCAGGAAACACAGGACTCCACCAGCCTTAAAGTCAGCGTGCTATGGTGAGCTCAGGGACCACAGACCCATGGATGAGGAATTTACATATTGTTGTAGGTAAGGGATCACAGCCATTGTGTTTTGCTCTTTGGCACACTGGGCTATGAAAAGAGAAACTGTTGGTAAAATCAAAATAGGTTAACTAGACAAGTTAAAATATCCTTTGTAAAGAGCACACGCAAAAAAACACAGAAAATAAATTTAACTTTACCCAGAAAACATCTTGGAATCTCCCACTTTCATATTCTGTGACAGATGACAAAGGATGTTTTTTCTGCATAAAATTGAAAAATATGTTTTAAAATATTTTAAATGCATTTTCAACTAAAAAATAAGTCAAAGGAAATAAGTTTGTTTTTCATGAACAAAGGGTTTTGTTTGCTCATGTCACTGATCTACAGGTTTAAGTGAAAAATCAGTATTTTTTCAAACTTTAGCCACGCTTCTTTCACATCATTATGAAAATTATATAAACCATCACAAGAATGATTTACTGTATATGAAATCCAGGATAGGCAATCCATAGAGATAATAACTAGATTAATATTAATATAAGGCAAGGGAGATTGGGGGTAGTGGGAAACTACTAAATAATGGGTATAAGAAAAGAAAATGTTAATTCAGTCCATTGAGGAAAGAAGGACCAACAGAATTAATGAAAAGACTGCATGATAGTATTTTCAATAAAATGCATTTGAATTTTTAAAAATGAGGAAAATGTTCTACAATTGATTGTGGTGATGATTGCTCAACTTTAATATACTTAAACCGTTGAATTGTATAATACATGAATTATATGCCAGGAAAATTGTTTAAAAACAACACTAAAAGCAAACACCATCAGAATAAATGGCCACACAAAACAAACGTGCTTTTCTATAGCTATGAAGGAAAAAAAGAAAAGGTTTTGAGTAAACTTTTTCAGAAAGAAGGCTTGTAAAATAAAGTTAAGTAAAAAACTTATTTCAAAGCCTAACCATTTAAACATTATGTTCCTGACTTATATAACCTTTAAATGTACCTATACTGAAATTTAACATCTAAAAACAAACCCCACAAGAACAATCACAAGTGTTCAACCATCGTGGCTTCCCCCATAAATGATGCTACATTAAATAACAGCATCTCCTCTTCCCTTCAACCCAACAATTCACTGGAAAATACGCAATCTTCAAAACCCTCCCTTAAAGAGTGTTTTGGGGGTTTTATTTTTAATCTAGTTTGGGCTAACAATTCTACATCTATATGGATTTGGCCAAAATTCTTAAATCTCAAAGAGTTTCACAATATTATAGTTATTGGTAAAAATGATGGCTAGGGTGAATGCATAGGTTCAAATCCGGCGTGATTTATTTTTTCAGTAGCGAATTACTCAGTTAAACGAATTATGAAGACCAGGAACTTTGGTGGGAACTAAATCCTCCGGTCCAGGGGCGCTTTGGGTGTTCGGTTCCAACCCTGGGCGAGGAAAGAGCACTTTCGTGATGCAGTAAATTATTTGGCATTGATTCAAGCCCCTCCACTGGAGAATGGTGAGGCTGTCTGCAGCCATAGAGATTGACAGTCTCAGGAACCCAAAGGGACCATTCTACTCTATGGCTTCCTTTGAATCAGATCCACTGCCTGGCAGTGGGTTTTATTGGAAACCCGCGCACTAAGACCACAAAAAGGGGTTCCTGGGTGACAAAAACGGTCGGCAGCGGCAATCCGCCCAGCGGCACCTGGGAGGGCAGGTCAAGGAACCCTGCGGAAACCCCTCGAGCCGGCCCACTCGCTGACAACTAACAACAGCCCGAGATGTGGGGCCCTGGTTCCCTGCACTTGCTTCTTACAAACCGCATAAAAGGGGTTGGGAAACACCCAGTGTCACTTGCAAACAAATCTCTCACGACTCCCGTTTCCTCCCCACTAGCGCTCTATTAGCGAGGGCCGGAGGTTTCTATTCTGCCATGTTGTCCCCGAACTAGCAGCCGCCAACACATTCCAAAAGCGAAGGCTCCATGGAGCCCCAGGGGCTAGAGGCCTTCCGGTGTCCCTCACCGTGGACATGCCGCTGCTCCCGGCCCCACGCCGACCGCACGGCCACGCCGGCCACGGAGGCTGCCGCCGCTGCGCAGCGC